CACCATGTTGGTCATGCTGGTCTTGAACTCCCGACCTCAGGTGATCCGCCCGCCTTGGCCTCCAAAGTGCTTGGATTACAGGCGTGAGCCACCACGCCTGGCCTGATTTCTAGTTTCATAGTATTGTAGTGAGAAAAAAAGATGTCTGACATAATTTCAGTCTTCTGGGCTGGGTGCAGTGGCTCATGCCTGTAATCTCAGTACTTTGAGAAGCCAAAGTGGGCAGATCACTTGATGTCAGGAGTTGGAGACCAGCCTGGCCAACACAGTGAAACCCTGTCTCTAATAAAAATACAAAAATTAGCAAGACCTGGTGGTGCATGCCTGTAATCCCAACTACTCAGAAGGAGAATCGCTTGAACCCAGGAGGCAGAGGTGGCAGTAAGCTGAGATGGTGCCACTGCACTCCAGCATCGGCAACAGAGCGAGAGCCCACCTCAAAACATAATAATCATTTCAATCTTCTTAAATCTGTTAAACCTTTATAAAAGTTTATGATCTACCCTGGGAAATGTTCCACATGCATTTGAGAAGAATGTATACTCTGCTGCTGTTAGATGAAATGTTCTGTATATGTCTGCTCTATCTATTGGTTATAATGGTTGTTCAAGTCACTCTGTTGTCCAGGCTGGAGTGCAGTGGCACAATTTCAGCTCACTGCAACCTTCGCCTCCTGGGTTCAAGTGATGCTCGAGCCTCAGCCTCCTGAGTAGGTGTGATTCCAGATGTGCACCACCACACCCAGCTAATTTTTGTACTTTTAGTAGAGGCAGGATTTCACCATTTTTGGCCATGCTGGTCTTGAACTCCTGGCCTCAAGTGATCCACCCACCTCAGACTCCAAAAGTGCTGGGATTATTGGCATAAGCCACTGCTCTCAGACCGAGATTCTTTATGTTTGACTTTTGACAAATATGTCTCAAGAACCTCATTATGCTCAAGCATTTTGAGTATTATAGGCTTCATGGGGATGGATGTTTGTTTTCCTCTCTAGATTTGGGAATTTTTCTGTCATTATTTCCTGAAGTAAGTTTTCCATCCCTTTCTTTCTGTGCTCCTCCTTGGATTCCCATAATGCATATATTGGCTGGATTGATGATGTCCCATAAGTTTCATAAACTTTCCTCACTCATTTTCATTCTTTTTCATTACACTGAAAATGGTTGAGATGATAAATGTTATATGTACTTTATCACCATTTTAAAAAAATGTTTGCTGCATCTATACAGTGGAATACAATGCAGTAATAAAAAGAAAGAAAAATTTTTAAAGGACGGATAAAAAACAATGTCTACTGTTGAGTGAAAATGCGTGGGCACCTAACAGTGTAAAAACTAAGGAGGAGAAAAGTACACATTAATTTGCTTGTACAAAATATCTCAAGAGGGATACATAAGAAGTGGCAACATTGGTTTCTTCTTAGAAGTAGATAGCCATGGGGAACAGAAGCAGAAGGGAGACTTCTCTGGAAATCTTTTTGGTACTTTGGAATTTTTGTTCAAGACAGGGTTTCACTCTGTCGCCCAGGCCGGAGTGCAGTGGAGTGTACAATCATAGCTCACTGCAGCCTTGACTTCCTGGGCTCAAGTGATCCTCCCACTGCAGCATTTCGAGTAGCTGGAAGTATAGGTGTGTGCCACCACACCCAGCTAATTTTTTTTTTTATTAATTTTGTAGAGCTGGGGTCTTGCATTGTTGTCCAGGATGGAACCTTTGGAATTTTGAATCACAGAAACCATTTTACAAAAATAAATGAAAATGCAAAACATGGTGTCTATATACTGCTCACACTTTTATGTTGGCATCACAAACTAAAATTCCACCAGAAGCCCGGTAGGAAATACAAAGGAGTGAAATCAGCATGTCTGGAACCTTGGCAACTGGAGAAAGAACACCTCTTTACAGGATACAAGGTCAAGTGCAGTCTTGGCACAAAGGATGCCAAGAGAAGTTGAAGAGTTAAATTTGTATGTGAAAATTTCTGACTGTGCCTTGTTGAAAAAATACTTTATTGATTATATATAACCAGAAATGTATACATAGGTTCACAGCTCAATTAGTATTCATGAAGTGAACACAGTGCAACCAACATCCAGATCAAGAAAGAGAGAATAGCCAGCCCAGCCAGTCACTAGCTCCCCACCTCAACTCCAACCAGGAACCACTATCCTGACTTCTAACAGACTGGATTAGTTTTGCCTGCTTCTGTACATTATATAAATAGAATCGCATGGTATATACACTTTTGGGTCTGGCATCTTTCTCTCTAGTGAAATTAATCGTACTGTCTTATGTAGTTGCATATGGGTCATTTTCATTGCTGATGGTCTTCCATTTATTCACCTATTCTTCTGTTGATTGGCATTTAGGTTGCTCTCTGTTTGGGCTTATAACACATTGTTCACCTATAAATATTCTATTTCATGTCTTCTGGTGAAATATATAAGCATTTTTGTTGTGTATCTTTCCTGAGTCCTGAAAGTGTCTGTTTAGGTTTAAAAGATACTGCCAGCTGGACATGGTGACACATGCTTGTAGTCCCAACTACTTGGGAGACTGAGGCAGCCCAAACTTGAATCCAGTTCTGGGCTGTAGTGTGTTAGGCCAATCAGGTGTCTACACTGTGATTAGCATCATTATAGTGACCTCCCAGGGAGCAAAAGACCCACACGTTTGCCTATGAAGGGTGAACCGGCCCAGGTCAGAAACGGAGCAGGTCAAAACTCTCATGCTGATCAGTAGTGGGATCATACCTGTAAACAGCACTGCATTCCAGCCTGGGCAACAAAGTGAGACCCTGTTTGTTTTAAATATATATATATAAGGCCGGGCGCGGTGGCTCACGCCTGTAATCCCAGCACTTTGGGAGGCCGAGGCGGGAGGATCACGAGGTCAACAGATAGAGACCATCCTGGTCAACATGGTGAAACCCCGTCTCTACTAAAAATACAAAAATTAGCTGGGCATGGTGGTGCACGCCTGTAGTCCCAGCTACTCGGGAGGCTGAGGTGGGAGAACTGCTTGAACCCAGGTGGCGGAGGTTGTGGTGAGCCGAGATCGCGCCATTGCATTCCAGCCTGGGTAACAAGAGCGAAGCTCCATCTCAAAATAAAAATAAATAAAAATAAATAAATAAATATATATATATATATATATACTGCCAAATAATTTTTCATTTGAGTTCTGGTTGCTCCATTTGTTTGTCTTGGCAACTTAAAAAAACAAGGCCAAATAAATCATCTGTGGACCATCAAGTTGTCACCTCTGACCTAGCGCAGCTTCAGTTTTTATGGGAGAAAGATCTTTACGGGGTAAGTCCAAAAGCATTTCACTCCCTTGCTTAAGACCTTGCAGTATCCCTCAATCTTTGAATGACTGAACTCCATGACGGGCTGCTGCTCTTTTTTTTTTTTTTTTTTTTTTTGCCTCTTTTCCCTGATCTTTGCGTTCATTTTTCATATCTCCATCCCTGCCACTTTGAAGGTCTTGGTGGGCTGCCAGATTCTAGTAAGTCAGCATGCCTTGAAATATGCTGTCTCCCCTGCCGATGGCTTCCCCTTTCTTTACTAGGCCAATTCAGTACTTTCTCTCCCCACTAAATTACTAGATTCAGTGCTTGGGATACAAACCTGGATTCTCTCTACCCCAGGAACTTCATGGTGCCTGCCACAGGGCAGGTGCCCAGTACACGCTTGTGCCACAAACTTGGGTACTCTCTGATGTTGAATTTTTTTTAAGGTAATCCAGACAGATAGAAAAAAAAAAAAACATTACACAGGAGAAAAAGGAAATTTTTACCTTCAATCTCTCCAGTTCTCCCCAGAGGCAACCACTGGTACTACTTCCTTGTATATTCTTCCTGAAATATATATGGAATGTATAAGGATATATATTCAGTCAATGCTGTGAAGAAAATAAAACAGCCCTCTGGGGGTCCGCGAGTGCTGGAGACGGTAGCACACGGTTCACAGGAGCTGGAATCTGAGACCACTACTCTGGGACCAGAAACGACTCTCGTGCACCTGCAGTCCTCCAGGGAAATCTGAAGAGGGTTCCACAGCTTGGATTCTCAGCACTTTGGGAGGCCGAGGCGGGAGGATCGCTTGAGCCCAGGAGTTGAAGACCAGGCTGAGCAACACGGTGAAAACCCGTCTCTACAAAAATAGGCCGGGCAGAGTGGTGCGCGCCTGCGTCTGAACTACTCGAGAGGCTGGGGTGGGTGGATAGCTGGAGTCCAGGAGGTCGAGGCTGCAGTGAGCTGTGATTGCACCACTACACTCCAGAATGGAGGACGGAACGAGACCCTGTCTGAAATAATAGGGAAGGAAGGAAACAAGTTACACGTAAACGCCGCCCGCAATAACCTCGTGTCGGAGCCTCAGTTGCAGACTAGCACGAGTGGAAGCCCAGCAAATGCCCAGCGCCTGCTCACTGGCCCACGGCTATCCAGCGTCGGCTCTCCTTCCCACGCCCTCCCTTCCGGAGCCTGCGCACCAGGGCCCGCTTCATGAAGGCCAGCGAAGCTGGGGACACTGGATAGCCTTTCTTGCCGACTGAGGCGGGAGGAATTTGCCAGTTCCTGTATCCCTTGTCCCTCTCTCTTCCCAGTCTAGGATACGAACTATAAATCTTTGAAAACAATTCACCCTAGAGGGGAGGGGCCAGATGCCAAGGGCCTGAGAGCGCCCAGGTATCCAGAAGGATTGTGGGTGGAGAGTCGCAGTCACGTGGCATGCTTCCACCAATCAGCGCGCAGACCGCACTTTGCGGCTCGGCTTCAAACAAACTACCGTGAGGCCGGAGCGCCACTGGGGCCCCGCCCCCCTCGCCTGGGTCTGGGGCCCCGCGAGACAGCGGGAAGGGGTGGGGGGCGCCCAGGAGGGGGCGGGACGCGGGGCCGAGTGACGGCTGGCCTCACCTATTCCGGGCGCGGGCTGAGCCCCGCAGCCAATGGGCGTGGGTGGGGGGGGTGGCCCGGCCGGCAGGGAGGGGGAGCCAGCGGCTGGGGACGCGGGGGGAGGAGGAGGCGGGCTCCCAATCCGGTTCCATCCGGTTCTCCCACCGCCCCCGCTGTGGGTCTCGGCAGCTCGGGCGGCGGGAGGAGTGGTAGCGGCCAGGCAGCCCATCTTCGCAAAGGCTTTCGGCGCGCCGCGGCCCGCGGGCACCCGGCACGCGCCTCCCCGCCGCCAGGATGCCAAAAAGGAAGGTGAGCGGCGGCCGCGGCACGCACACACCCCCTGGGGCCGCCTCTGGCCGCCCCGCTGGGCCCCGCGAGGCCCACGCTCCGCTGCCCTCACGGTGGAGCCGGGTCCGGGAGGCGCTCGGAGACCCGCGGGCGGGCGGGCGCTCGGTGGCCCCGGGGACGGTGTTCTAGAAGGTTCTGCGGTCTGGGGAGCCGAGGGGGCGATTCGAACGGGGCGGCGGGAAGCCGTGACGTCACGCGGCCGGGCATTGTTCTCGGGGCCGGGCGGGCGCGCGGGTTCTGGGACTGCGGCCCGCGTCCATCCGCGCGTTTTCTTCTCGCAGGTCAGCTCCGCCGAAGGGGCGGCCAAGGAAGAGGTGAGCGCGGGGCCTTCGGCGGGGTGTGGGGGTGGGTTTCCCGTGAGCCGCTGGACTGCCTTCTCTTCTCGCTGACTCTTCCTTTTTCTCTCTCTAAGCCCAAGAGGAGATCCGCGCGGTTGTCAGCGGTAAGTAAAGCCAGTCCGTAACCGTTTGTTTTCCGCGGGTCGTCCCCGGTGAGGACGCTCAGTGCTACTTTTGCCTTTCAGAAACCTCCTGCAAAAGTGGAAGCGAAGCCAAAAAAGGCAGCAGCGAAGGTAGGCTTCGAAACGCGCATTGGGATGCAGCAGGGTCTTAGGCTACACTGCTCCTTAATGTGGGACTTTTAATTCTGATGAGCTATTTGAGATTTCTTTATATTTTAATAACTACGGTAAATATTTTTTTTCTAGTCGGGGCAAAATGTAATGCATATATTCATCCTGGTGTATGGGACCGAATCACATTAATGCTGCTGCGGATTTTAGGCGACTTGGGACGACAAAAAATATTAAATTCTAACAAGTATACAAAGGAAATTTATTCTTAGCGTTGCGTACATTGTGGCTGGTGCTTGGCCTTTAATTGTGTGCTTGTACTTCCTCTTTTGACAGTGAAAGAGCCAAGTTGGGACTGAGGTCAGGAAAAAGGGAACATATAAATTTTTATATATAGTTTCCAAGCCAACATGGGGGAATGTTGACTTTTTTACGGGGTAGGGGAGGAGAAGTCAAAAGTTGTGTTCTTTGAGAACATAACCGCCACTACTCTAGAAGTACTTTACCAGCAGTTAAACAAAACCGTGATTTGGTTGCTCCCTAATAAATTCATGATTGCATGATTGGGGTTGCAGGTCTATAGAATGAAGTTAGTTTTGGGTATAAGTGTGTTTGATAACTTTCAGGGTGGAAAAGCAGACCATGTGTAAAACATGAATAAATTTTGTGTTCAGAGATAGCATTGAAACTACCATCTGTAAAGCTCTACGTGTTCTTCACGTTGTGTTTTCTACTCAAAACTTAGGAGAGTTTGCTATTTGAAGTCTCGAAAAAAATTTAACGCCATCACCTCTTTCCTAAAAGTGTAGGTAGAAGGCAAGCACTGCACAATCATCAGAAGAGGCAAGATTAATTTCCTTGACATTGAAGAGTTCTTGGATAATTATTAAATTTGTCCTTGTTAAATAAAGGTATAAAACAAAGATTTTTTTCTTTTTTAAGATTTGTACAGAGCTCAGTAAAAATCTTAACTATGTTTTCTTTAACAGAAAGTTCTGTTTTTGTGATCTTAAAAATAAAGCTTCAAGGAAGGTATTTTTCAACTTTGCAATTTCTCATACCAGAAGACGATGCGATAATTCTCTGTACACAGAACAGCACGGAAACTTGATGAAGGCCTAAAAAATTAGCTGACTTTGTTAAAAATGCCTGTGTGAGCGGTATATTATCACCTATTTTGTTTTTTGATTCTGTGTTTTTAACTAATTGGCTGAAATATCTGCCTGTTTCCCTTTTTACATTTTTCTTATTTATCTTTGTCCATCTTGAGATCTACTGTAAAGTGAATTTTTAATGAAAACAGTTGCAAGTTTTACCCCCGGTGGGTTTGGGACATCAGATTTAATTGAGAGGCCAACAGGTAAGTCCTCATGTCAGTGCTGCTTGAGGAACAAACCTATGAGGTCAGCTTTCCCAAAGAGAAAAGGACGGAAGGGATTCGTTTGTTGTTACATCTAGTTTCTGTAATACAACTTTGACTTCGTAGTTGATGAGACTTTAAACAGAAGGTAAGCACGTGGTGTATTGATACAATACACATAAAATACTACACAGTAGACATGTTTTCAAAGCATATCTGTCACAGTGTGTACTTCTGACTTGTATCATTTACCTAGAACTAAATATTTTGAAGGTCCAAAATACTCAGAAAACGTAATTGATTTTGTTTTATCTAGCTTATCGGTTCATAATGGTTACAAGTAGTAGTATTTCGAGTCCATGGTATTATTATGTATTCTATTTTAACTGTTTCCCGGTTTTGTATTTTTGGTATTGGAATGGTGATTATGAAATTGATGAGAAACCTTCAGAAATCAGATTACAAAAGAGTAGTTCTTTTTTTAAAGACGAGATTTTACCACGTTGGTCAGGGTGGTCCCGAACTCCTGACCTCAGATGATCTGCCCGCCTTGGCCTCCAAAGGGCTTGAATTATAGGTGTGAGCCACCATGCCCGGCCCAAAAGAGTGGTTCTTAAATACAGAAGTAGTTGTGAAAATTTGTGATAGCAATGTGTGTAGTAGCAGTTTTGTCTCAAATATATTTGTTTCTTTCTTTTTTTTTGTTTTTGTTTTTGTTTTTGTTTTTGTTTTGAGACGGAGCTTCGCTCTTGTTACCCAGGCTGGAGTGCAATGGCGCGATCTCGGCTCACCGCAACCTCCGCCTCCTGGGTTCAGGCAATTCTCCTGCCTCAGCCTCCTGAGTAGCCGGGATTACAG